GGACCCTACATCAAGAAACAAAAGAGGAGGCCACGAGGTGGGGGGGCGCGCCTACCCCCCCAGGCGCGCTCTCCACCCTCGTGGGCCCCCTATTGCTCCACCGACGTACTCCTTCCTCCTATATAAACCTACGTACCCCCAAATGATCAGATACGGAGCCAAGACCCTAATTCCACCACCACAACTTTCTGTATCCACGAGATCCCATCTTGGGGCCTGTTCCGGAGCTCCGCCGGAGGGGGCATCGATCACAGAGGGCTTCTACATCATCACCATAGCCCCTCCGATGAAGTGTGAGTAGTTTACCTCAGACCTATGGGTCCATAGTTATTAGCTAGATGGCTTCTTCTCTCTTTTTGGATCTCAATACAATGTTCTCCCCCTCTCTTGTGGAGATCTATTTGATGTAATCTTCTTTTTGCGGTGTGTTTGTTGAGACCGATGAATTGTGAGTTTATGATCAAGTCTATCTATGAACAATATTTGAATCTTCTCTGAATTCTTTTATGTATGATTGGTTATCTTTGCAAGTCTCTTCGAATTATCAGTTTGGTTTGGCCTACTAGATTGATCTTTCTTGCAATGGGAGAAGTGCTTAGCTTTGGGTTCAATCTCGCGGTGTCCTTTCCCAGTGACAGTAGGGGCAGCAAGGCACGTATTGTATTGTTGCCATCGAGGATAACAAGATGGGGTTTTCATCGTATTGCATGAGTTTATCCCTCTACATCATGTCATCTTGCTTAAGGCGTTACTCTATTTTCATGAACTTAATACTCTAGATGCATGCTGGATAGCGGTCGATGAGTGGAGTAATAGTGGTAGATGCAGGCAGGAGTCGGTCTACTTGTCTCGGACGTGATGCCTATATACATGATCATGCCTAGATATTCTCATAACTATGCTCAATTCTGTCAATTGCTCAATAGTAATTTGTTCACCCACTATAGAATACTTATGCTCTTAAGAGAAGCCACTAGTGAAACCTATGGCCCCCGGGTCTATCTTCATCATATTAATCTTCCAATACTTTGTTATTTACTTTGCTTTTATTTTACTTTGCATCTTTATCATAAAAATACCAAAAATATTATCTTATCATATCTATCAGATCTCACTCTCGTAAGTGGCCGTGTAGGGATTGACAACCCCTTATCGCGTTGGTTGCGAGGATTTATTTGTTTTGTGCAGGTACGAGGGACTCGCCCGTAGCCTCCTACTGGATTGATACCTTGGTTCTCAAAAACCGAGGGAAATACTTACGCTACTCTGCTGCATCATCCCGTCCTCTTTGGGGAAAAACCAACGCAGTGCTCAAGAGGTAGCAAGAAGGATTTCTAGCGCCGTTGCTGGGGAGTCTACGCAAAAGTCAATATACCAAGTACCCATCACAATCCCTATATCCCGCATTACATTATTTGCCATTTGCCTCTCGTTTTCCTCTCCCCCACTTCACCCTTGCCGTTTTATTCACCCTCTCTCTCTATCCTCCCTCTCTTTCTCTATTTGCCTCTTTTTGCCCGTTTGCTTTTTGTTTGCCTGCTTGTCTCAATGGCTCAAGGTAACACTAAATTGGGTGACTTTACCAATACCAACAACATTGATTTTATTAGCACTCCGATTGCTCCTCTTACCGATGCTGAATCTTGTGAAATTAATACTGCTTTGCTGAATCTTGTCATGAAAGATCCGTTTTCCTGCCTTCCTAGTGAAGATGTCGCTACCCATGTAAATAGCTTCGTTGATTTGTGTGATATGCAAAAGAAGAAAGATGTGGATAATGATATTGTTAAATTGAAGCTATTTCCTTTTTCGCTTAGAGATCGTGCTAAAGATTGGTTTTCGTCTTTGCCGAGAAATAGTACTGGTTCATGGAATAAGTGCAAAGATGCTTTTATCTCTAAGTATTTTCCTCCCGTTAAGATCATCTCCCTTAGAAACGATATTATGAATTTTAAGCAACTTGATCATGAACATGTTTCACAAGCTTGGCAGAGGATGAAATTAATGATACGTAATTGCCCTACTCATGGTTTGAATTTGTGGATGATTATACAAAAAAATTATGCCAGATTGAATTTTGCTTCTAGAAATCTTTTAGATTCGGCCGAGGGAGGCACTTTTATGGAAATCACTTTAGGAGAAGCTACTAAAATCTTAGATAATATTATGGTTAATTATTCTCAATGGCATACTGAATGATCTACTAATAAAAAGGTGCATGCGATAGAAGAAATTAATGTTTTGAGTGGAAAGATGGATGAACTTATGAAATTATTTGCTAATAAAAGTTTTTCTTCTGATCCTCATGATATGCCCTTGTATACTTTGATTGAGAATAATAATGAATCTATGGACGTGAATTTTGTTGGTAGGAACAATTTTGGTAACAACGCGTATAGAGGAAATTCAATCTAATATAATAATATGCCCTCTGATTTTGAATCTAATATTAAAGAATTTATTACTTCGCAAAAGAATTTTAATGCTTTGATTGAAGAAAATTGCTTAAGATTGATGAGTTGGCTAGGAACATTGATAGAATTGCTCTTGATGTTGATTCTTTGAAACTTAGATCTATTCCACCTAAGCATGATATCAATGAGTCTCTCAAAGCCATGATAATTTCCATTGATGAGTGCAAAGAAAGAACCCCTAGGATGCGTGCTAAAAAAGATGCCTTTATAAGAGCGTGTTCCTCTAGTTCCTATGAAAATAAAGATGAAGATCTAAAAGTTATTGATGTGTCCCCTATTAAATCTTTGTTTTGCAATATGAATCTTAATAATGATGGGACTGAATATGATCCACCTTTACCTAGAAGATGTTCCAAGAATTCGGAGTTTTTAGATCTTGATGCTAAAATTGATGAAAGTGGGATCGAAGAAATTAAAGCCCTAGATGTTGCTAAACCCACTATCTTGGATTTCAAGGAATTTAATTATGAAAATTGCTCTTTGATTGATTTGTATTTCCTTGTTGCAATCTGTGCTAAATTCTCCTCATGCTTATAGTCAAAATAAAGTGTTCACTAAACATATCGTTGATGCCTTGATGCAATCTTATGAAGAAAAACTTGAATTGGAAGTTTCTATCCCTAGAAAACTTTATGATGAGTGGGAACCAACTATTAAAATTAAGATTAAAGATCATGAATTCTATGCTTTATGTGATTTGGGTGCTAGTGTTTCCACGATTCCAAAGACTTTGTGTGATTTGTTAGGTTTCCGTGATTTTGATGATTGCTCTCTAAACTTGCACCTTGCGGATTCCACTATTAAGAAACCTACAGGAAGAATTAATGATGTTCTTATTGTTGCAAATAGGAATTATGTGCCCATAGATTTTATTGTTCTTGACATAGATTGCAATCCTTCATGTCCTATTATTCTTGGTAGACCTTTCCTTAGAACGGTTGGTGCAATTATTGATATGAAGGAAGGAAATATAGATTCCAATTTCCGTTAAGGAAAGGTATGGAACACTTTCCTAGAAAGAAAATTAAATTACCTTATTAATCTATTATGAGAGCCACTTATGGATTGCCTACCAAAGATGGCAATACCTAGATCTATCTTTGCTTTTTATGCCTAGCTAGGGGCATTAAACGATAGCGCTTGTTGGGAGGCAACCCAATTTTATTTTTATTTCTTACTTTTTGCTCCTGTTTAGTAATAAATAATTTATCTAGCCTCTGTTTAGGTTGTGTTTTTTGTGTTTAATTAGTGTTTGTGCCAAGTAGAACCATTGGGAAGACTTGGGAAAGTCTTGTTAATCTTGCTGTAAAAAACAGAAACTTTAGCGCTCACGAGAACTGCTGCCATTTTTAATTGGAAAGTGCTATTTAGTTAATTATTTTTGAAGATGATTAATAGATAAATCCCTCACGTCCATCAATTTATTTTAGAATTTTTGGGGTTCCAGATCTTGCGCTAGCTACAGATTAATAAAGACTGTTCTGTTTTTGACAGATTCTGTTTTTCATGTGTTGTTTGCTTATTTTGATGAATCTATGGCTAGTAAAATAGTTTATAAACCATAGAGAAGTTGGAATACAGTAGGTTTAACACCAATACAAATAAATAATGAGTTCATTACAGTACCTTGAAGTGGTGTTTTGTTTTCTTTCGCTAACGGAGCTCATGAGATTTTCTACTTTAAGTTTTGTGTTGTGAAGTTTTCAAGTTTTGGGTAAAGATTTGATGGATTATGGAACAAGGAGTGGCAAGAGCCTAAGCTTGGGGATGCCCATGGCACCCCAAGATAATCTAAGGACACCTAAAAGCCAAATCTTGGGGATGCCCCGGAAGTAGGGCTGGACTAACGAGCTACTCGACTCGTTAAGCTCGTGATTTTTAAGCTCGCGATCGTTGAGCTCGTGATCGTTAAGCTTGTTAACTTTAACGAGCTCAAACTCGTGATCGGCTCGGTTTGTTAAATACTCGTTAAGCTTGTGAGCGCTCACGAGTGCTCGTTACATTTGTAAACAAGACAGAAGCTAGCAAAGTAGTCATGCATCAGCCATTAACCTTTGCCAAATTTATTCTTTCCAAATAGTAGCACATAATGCGGCAACCATTAGCTAGCAGCAAGCCATCAACACACAATGACACAATTAAATAACATTTGAACAGCAACATAGAGTGACAAAGACAAGTCCAGGATTTCAAAAGACAAAGTTGAACATGGCTTAGGCGCTCAACATTGGATCAAGTTCGATCAGCACACTAGCAGTACATACTATATTAACTACTTCAACACTTCAGCACGACACTTCATCAACATAAGGTCTTACATAACTAACAATGATCGAAATAAAATGGTAGCTTCTAGCTGAGCAAGTGCAAAGTAGCTCCTGCTCCTCACATAAGTTGCTCATCAATTCATCAATTTCATCTTCCTACATAGACATAGAGAAATTCACTAGTTATGATGCAAGCAAATAAACAATAGTACAATGCTATAGCAATACAATCACACTCAATAATAATATGGGAGGCCTACTAGTTGCTTTCTATCGTATCTTCAGGAAATGGAATGAACTCGACATCATCATCATTGCCATCTTCCTACAAAGGTAAGTGCAAATATGCAATTTGAGTTAACATTTAGCAAGAGTCTAAGGTTACAAGAAGATAATACACAGTAGATAACAAGAAATATTACCACTGTAATTGTAGTCTTAAGCTGGTGTTCTTTTGATCCTTTAATGTAGCTAGAAGCACACACAAGTGCCTCAACCATGTTTGGGCTGAGAGAGCTACGATAGTCATCGAGAATTCTGCCGCTCGTAGAGAACGTTGACTCTGATGAGATACTAGTTGCTGGTATAGTCAATAACTTCTTTGCCATCTTTGCCATGATAGGATATCTATGAGCATTCAACCTCCACCAGTTAACTACTTCTTTGCCATCTTTGCCATGATAGGATATCTATGAGCATTCAACCTCCACCAGTCAACTACTCTGAAATTTCGATCCAGAATTGGATGGGTTTTGTATTCAAGGTAACTAGTCAATTCAGATTTAGATGGCTCTGAATTTGTCTCCTCTAGCAAGGATTGAAATCCACTTGACAATGAAGACATAGATGCACTTGTTTGCCTACTAGATACCGAACTCTGTTCATTATTGTTGCCAGCCTCATTCTTGTGATTTTCCATCTCATAAGTTGCATAGAGATCAAAGAATTCAGATTTGATTTCCTCGGCCTCACTATTGCCCTTCTCTTTACCATGCATTTTCTTAAAACAGTAATCAACAAGTTTCATCTTAAACCTAGGATCAAGAATGGTGGCAATGACCATGACATTGTTCTTTTCCTTTTTTGTTTTCCCCACTGTTTTCATTTCCCTCACCTTCACCATTGCTATCCCAATATTTATCAAACTTATCAAGCATTGCTTCTCCATGTTTTTCATGTTTGCATTCGAACCCATGGCATGCTCTACGATAGCAATCTTAACATTCATGATATATGGATAAAAAATGTTGGCAGTAGGACAGTTAGATCCTAATAATACAGTTGTTACCTCGGCAAACGATTTCAAGATGGGTTGAATCTTCTCATATAATGCCCACTCTTCATCTCCAAGCTGCCATTTGTAGGTAGCATCTACCTTTGCATACTCTTTGAAAGCAGCCCTATACACAGTGCAAGCCTCTATCATTCTGCATGTAGAATTCCATCTAGTAGCAACATCTAGGCATAAACCTCTCCCAATTTCCATATTCAGAGACTTGCAAACCATCAACAATTTGTACATGCGTGTTGAAGATTTTTTCAAATACTTGACAGTATCCCTAAGCTTATTGATCAAAGTTTGCAACAGAGCAATGCCATCATTCACTATCAAATTGATAATGCGTGCACATCAACAAACATGGAAGTACTTAGGAATAAATTTAGCCGATTTCCGAGCAATGATCTTGTCCATCAACCTCTTAGCAGCATTATCATTTGAGGAAGCATTATCCATAGTGATTTTCATGATCTTATCTTCTATTTTCCATTCTTGGCAACACTCAAAAACTGCTTGAGCTATGACACTACCCGAGTGAGGTGGATCTACCTCTATGAAGTTTAAAACACGACATTGCATGATCCAATCATCATCTATGTAGTGAGCGACCACAGCTAGGAATGAGAGAGTTTGGTTTGAAGTCCATAGATCACATGTCAAACTAATGCTTTCAACAGACTTTAGTTGCTTTTTAAGGATATATTTCTCGTAAAGATACACCTTCATGCATTTAGCTCTAATTTTCTTCCGACCAATGAACTTGTAGGATGCATTCATATACTTCATGAGGATATTGAACCAAGCATGCTCTACCATCCTAAAAGGATAATCATGCACAATTATCATCTTTGCTATGATCTTAACGGCTTCTGCATGATTGTATTCATGGTTTACTATGAGAGATGCACCTGGCTTTTCAGGATCGAAGTTGATTGTACCTTGATTTAGCTGTCTTCCCTTCTTGTTTAGATAGACTGAACAAACATTTTTATGCCTATTGAGGCTAGTAGTTGACCCCCAGGAGTATAAGCAAACAATTTAGCACAATGCAAACACTTTGCCTTCGTGGCAACCGCCCCTGGCGTCCTCTTACTTACAGCCTTGACCTCCTTGAAATGCTGCCAACATTCTGCACGTTTAAGTCTCGTTTTCTTCACCTTCACCTTAGTACCATCCACTCCTACCTTTTTCCTTTTCCCTCCTTTCTTTGCCCTCTCTTTGCCATTGACCTCAACTACTATGTTTTTTCGATTGTCTCCTGATCCAAGAGAAGGCTCTGACATATCATCATCATCCATATCATATGCCTCTGCCTCGTCAACCTCCGTATACCCTTCATGAACCTCTACCCATTCATCTTCATCGCCGTCATCTTCCCGTGGAGAATGAAATAGCATGATTCAGATTTTACAAGCCAAATATTTACAAAATACTATCAATTAGAATTGATTGATTGATTAGGGATACAAATAATGAACATCAACACATACAAAATAATTAGTAAGTATCACTACATAATAATTGCACTGTGCAAAATTGTATCAATGAACAGAAACAAATCTTCCTGTTGCATTAAGTAGTAGGTGATACTAATAACCATCTAAACTAGTACTGTAGAAGTCAGGACATTTACTTACTAGACTGGTTTTGCATTTAAGTAGTAATTTTTACCATCAAAAATAGAAGTCAGAACTTAGAGCATGTATAAAATTTAGGGAATGAAATTATAAGATTCCCACAAACATTTAACTAGGTACTTCAGCATGACTAATCTTAATCTGGTGCATGTATCCGTGTGTGTGTGACAAAGTATTTCACCTAACTACACTTGTATTTCTACAATCAATTAACAACAGTATACATTGGTATTTCAGCAAATTCACAAGTACTAACTAGGGCATCAAAGATTCAAAGTATATGCTAATATGAACTGGAATGTAATAGAAAATAAAAATAAGAGTGGGAGATAAACAATCTCACCGGTCCTGATCCAACACCGACGGCATCAGCGTCAGAGCATGTCGGTGATGTCGCCTCCACTGCTCTTGGACGCCTTTCTCCTTGCACTTGTTGCCAAGGATGAGAAGGCTTTGCTGCCATCGAAGGAGACTCCCGTGATGCTGAATCGGAGGCCGACGTCCTCTTCCTCAGCACCTTCTTTCGGACCTTAGACTCCATGCTTGGAGTGCTGGCCGCAGCTGATGGTCGCTCGCGCCGTTCCATGGGGACGTAGATGGAGATGGCGGAGGCGGGCGAAAGTCGTCGCCGGCGGCCGCCGGAGTAGAGAAGGAAGCAGAGCCGCGCTGCAACGCCGGGGTCAAAGACCTAGACCTAGCCGCTGCTCTGCTGCTTTCCCCATCTCTCTGTAGTTTGTACTCTGTAGTCTCCTCGGCTCCTCCTCTGGTCTCTTCGTAAGTAGGCCACGACTGACCAGATTCCATGAGGCCAGATGTGAATAGAATGTAGTTACGTGGGCAGCAGCTGGACTGGAGCCGAGGAGGTGGGTTGTGGCCTGTGGGCTGGGCTGAGCACTAATCATTTTCCATCTAGTAATAAAATTAAAAATTAGTTATCTACAAATTAACGAGCCAAATGAGCTACTCGTGATACTCGGGAGCTAGCTCGTTAAGCTCGTTTATATTAACGAGCTAAAGTTGTTGTTCAACTCAGCTCATTAACTAACGAGCACGAGCCTTAACGAGTCGAGCTTCTGAGTGCTCGTCAAACTCACGAGTAACGAGCTTTTCGTCCAGCCCTACCCAGAAGGCATCCCCTCTTTTCGTCTACTTCTATTGGTAACTTTACTTGGAGCTATATTTTTATTCACCACATGATATGTGTTTTGCTTGGAGCGTCTTGTATTATTTGAGTCTTTATTTGTTAGTTTACCACAATCATCCTTGCTGTACACACCTTTTGAGAGAGCCATACATGATTTGGAATTTATTAGAATACTCTATGTGCTTCGCTTATATCAATTGAGTTATATAGTTTTGCTCTAGTACTTCACTTATATCTTTTAGAGCACGGTGGTGGATTTTTTATAGAAACTATTGATCTCTCATGCTTCACTTAGATTATTTTGAGAGTCTTAAATAGCATGGTAATTTTCTTAAAAAATCATTATATGCTAGGTATACAAGATTAATAATAAAATTCTCTTATGAGTGTGTTGAATACTATGAGAAGTTTGATGCTTGATAATTGTTTTGAGATATGAAGATGGTGATATTAAAGTTGTGCTAGCTGAGTAGTTCTGAATTTGAGAAATACTTGTGTTAAAGTTTGTGATTCCCGTAGCATGCACGTATGGTGAACCGTTATGTGATGAAGTCGGAGCATGATTTATTTACTGATTGTCTTCCTTATGAGTGGCGGTCGGGGACGAGCGATGGTCTTTTCCTACCAATCTATCCCCCTAGGAGCATGCGCGTAATACTTTGCTTTGATAACTTGTAGATTTTTGCAATAAGTATATGCGTTCTTTATGACTAATGTTGAGTCCATGGATTATACGCACTCTCACCCTTCCACCATTGCCAGCCTCCTAATACCGCGCACCTTTCGCCGGTATCATACACCCACCATATACCTTCCTCAAAACAGCCACCATACCTACCTATTATGGCATTTCCATAGCCATTCTAAGATATATTGGCATGCAACTTTCCACCGTTCCGTTTATGATGACACACTCCATCATTGTCATATCACTTAGCATGATCATGTAGTTGACATCGTATTTGTGGCAAAGCCATCGTTCATAATTCTTTCATACATGTCACTCATGAGTCATTGCATATCCCGGTACACCGCCGGAGGCATTCATATAGAGTCATATTTTGTTCTAAGTATCTAGTTGTAATTGTTGAGTTATAAGAAAATAAAAGTGTGATGATCATCATTATTAGAGCATTGTCCCAGTGAGGAAAGGATGATGGAGACTATGATTCCCCCACAAGTCGGGATGAGACTCCGGACGAAAAAAGAGGCCATAAAAAAGGGAGAAAAGGCCCAAATAAAAAAATGAGAGAAAAAGAGAGAAGGGGCAATGCTACTATCCTTTTACCACACTTGTGCTTCAAAGTAGCACCATGATATTCATAGTAGAGAGTCTCTCATTTCGTCACTTTCATATACTAGTGGGAATTTTTCATTATAGAACTTGGCTTGTATATTCCAATGATGGGCTTCCTCAAATTGCCCTAGGTCTTCGTGAGCAAGCAAGTTGGATGCACACCCACTTAGTTTCATTTGTTGAGCTTTCATATACTTATAGCTCTAGTGCATCCATTGTATGGCAATCCCTACTCACTCACATTGTTATCT